TCATAACAAAATAAGAATACATGTCGCCTTGGAATGCATCTTGCGAAGCTTGTTCGCGTAAGTTTACCAAAAAGCTGTCGAATTCCTGGACACTAAATATTCCAGGAAGATTACCAGATGATAGTAAAGAATTTATGGATTGCAGAAATGCGTCCTGTAGTAACTGGTAATCTTCAACAATGTAAACAACATGTTTACCGTTTACTGCCGCATCTTGGATGACCTGCAAAATGCTCGGAATTGCTAACTCAGCTAATTCAGTTAAAGATACGATGACCGCTCAAATGAAATTGTATACCGTTTTTAAATCATTTCTAAACTGTTTGATTCCATAAGATGATGTCAATTTAGGCGAGAACACAGGCATTTGATGCATGTTGGCAACAAGCGATGCAGCTTCACGTCTTCCCATACCAGCTCTTCCAGCTAGCAACAATGAGCCCCCTGAAAATTCAGAAAACCGGTTGAAGACTGGAAGTAATGTTTTAAAAAAGGCAAATTATTTAGTAATTTTTAACTAAAAAATCAGTTCATTAATGGTAAAGAATTTCTCCTCAAAAATGTTTAAATTCATACTCTGATTAACTAGAGAAATTGAAGAAATGACAAGGAAACATACCGGGCGTAGTGATAACTCGGTCAATCTGAGAGCATAACTTGACAAATTCATTAAAAATTGGCATTTTAAAATTTGCTATCTCGGATTCTGAAAATTGATGGACTTGAAAGTCAGAAATACAGTTAACAGTCAATACGCAGTTTTAAGTAATCAATATAACTTGCAATTTTATTAAATTGCTATAGTTGCCATTATGAGTTGTGTTTTACCGTCTTCAGTAAACATGATAACATGAATGACAACATGAAATTTACCGTATCGATTGACTGCTTGTTGTAAAAGCTTAGCGTATTCTTTACGTGGTACCATTGATAATGGCGTACTTTTCAGCATTGTTATTGAAAGAGCTCCTCGAGCTGATATGTACAAGTTATCTGAAAACGTAAGTTAGATTTTAACCCATTATGAACAATGATGCTCTAAATTTAAAATTGCAAAACGACTTTGAATCTATGGACTATGATTGTTTGAACATTTTGTATAGATCATTATTTGTGTAGTTTCCTACATGTTAACGGTCAACACAAGGTTAGTCTTCAGACGGAAAAACTCAGGAACTGAAAAATTACTAAATTCTCACCTTCAATATTGCATACTGCAGCAGATGATAAATTATTACTAACGATTTCTTCGAATCTATAAAATTAATATATGTTTATTCTATAAATCAACATTTTAAACATTTTTATCCGAATCTGTAAATCAACATTTTTCATTCCACATTAATTACACTTTACCAATATGAAAATATTATTGAAAATAATTCATGAAAAGACCACTGGCTAAACGTGTAGCAGAACTGCCATACATATATTTCCTTCCATATACATTACCGCCATAATGTCCATCACTGCGAAACGCTTAACTTGTCATCCAAAGTCTTTGAGATAACATCATTTGATTACTCTGATTTATCTTTGGAATAAAAGTATTTACCGTTGTTTATGCTCATTATTTACCAAGCGATCCTTGAAAATTCGCCGACATTCATACAACATTGCACATAAAAATTTTTCACCAGCATTAGTACCTGTCGATGTAAAGAAAAATTATACTTCTTTATATGCTATATAATATCATTATTTTATTATCTGTGAAGGAAGATTATCATATTTGATAAATAATTGAATAAAACATGAATAGAGAATTTGAAAGTTCAAAAATAAAGATATGGCAATGGCGTTGAATTTTTATAGTTCCCAAAATATTGTCCACTAGCGCCTTTGGTAACATTTATGACGATATGCAAGAACTAACGTTATTAGTTATAATGATAAATACTGTAAATGATGACAAAGAACGGCATTTTAATGATGATTGAAATATGAAACATCGATTTAATCTTGTTTAACAATTAATTTTCCTATCTACTTTTTCGTAGTGATTTTTGTCAATAATCAGATGAAATATACAAGGAGAATTACTGTTAGAACTCGAGAACTTTCGGAAGCTAGAAGTAGAAATGCTGGAACATTTTCACTTATTGTATAACAACAAACATGAACCAGATAAGACATGCTAGCTTTTTAATACTTATTATGAAGCAAAATACACTCCGTACGAAAAATTACCAGTAATATCGTATCGTGTGAGGGTAAATACCCAATTTGATAAATCCTTTAGTGTGAACACATAATGTATTTTATCAGTTGGCTTGAATGCAGTCCGTACATCATTAAATAGATGCACCATGATGCTTGCCAAGTCATTTAATCGGTGCCTCAATGGCTCGATCGAGTCCTAAAATAGTCTTTATGAACCAAATCAAACCAGTTGTTTTTGGATCATTTACTTAATTAAAGGATAATTCTTCAAAACTGCAATCCCTTATTTATAATTATTCAAAAATTTTGGAAGATACTATAATGTAATGACACTTAATGAAGGATACTTTTATCAAAAATCCCAAATATGAAGAGTAGATGATGATAAGCTCATCCTTCGTAGGATAATCAACTGCACAGATTCTAAGTAAAGAAACGAAACGTGACGGTAACAGGTAATGACCTTCATCATTAGCCAACGTTATTGACAATACCAACTGAAAATAATGTTATCGATAATACTAACTGAAAACAATCATTGGATTCGATTCAATAAGTTTTCATTTTAAGTCCTAATTTGAAAATAATGTCAAATAACTTGTAATACAAATGATTGATTGGATGATTCTTTTGTCAGCTCAAGGATCAAGAAATTGTCTCAATTTTAATGACTTGAAGTTGATAAATAAATTCAAACACCTTCATCGAGGTTAATATGAGTTCATTAAGTTTGCACTGTGTGACTACTGATAACTACAGTAAAACAGTTAATCGTTAGTAAAACACTTAACTAGTTGATGGTATCTTTGTTTTTAAACAATTGGTAAGCCAGTGGTCATTAAGTCTATAATTGTAAAAAACAAATGTCAAGCAAAGCGCCAATTTCTTTTTTGGAAAATATAATTTTTTAGGAACAAACTTGAATATTTTCCAGAGAGATCCATTCTAATTTTTCATTATAGTATCCTTCATATGTGAGAAGCTGTTGCAAGAAAGCGATTATTTCACAAGTACCCCATTTATCCGGCTTTACAACATTAATTGCTTTTATGTAAAAGACCAAATTTTGCTTCTCTTTAGGTTTAAGCACTCTTCCAGATGCACTACTAATTTGTACACAGTACTGGTGCAATAAATCTATTACTTGCTGAGACCTGAAATTTGTTGAACATAAGAAAAAAAAAGCACTTATAGAACATCATTTTATATTATAAAATTCACATTTGATACTATAAAACAAGCGGTCAGTTTCCCTAGAGTTTTGTTCGTTTTTTCCCCGATAAATCATGGAATTACTTCTTAAACTAAAAAATAAAAATATTAGTGAATTTAGATTAAGAAAAAAAGTTAATTAGGAAAATTGATCTACCCTGTTAGAGCACTGCAATGAAGTATAGCTATTTGACTATTTGGATCCAATTCTAAACAATGTCGTAGCAAGCATTCTTTTCCACTGCCATCTGCACCATATATTATGAAAGGTTGTCTGTTACGGTTATCCAGCCATGAGCGAATCTTCAAATTTACAGTTTTTGATATTCAAAATTCACCAAAATATTTAAACATTTCTCCCACACGTTTAACTCAATGTTAATCTTGAGCGATTTGAAATTCGAAAGTTCACTGGAAAATTTTATTGCATAAAAGCATTTACTTACAGTATCACGATTAGCCTGTGCATTAGCAGTTAAAATGTAAGGACGCTCCACACTTAGTAAGTGATCATTGTTATTTGGCATACTCATTTCGTCTGTATAAGCTAATAATGATTTTGCTCGCTTGTCGTAATAAACATTTCCAGGATTTTGCTTATCTGGCAAGCTTATTTCATTGAACACAACCTAAGAAAGTGATGCATGAATTATAAGTTTTCTCTTTTTTTTAATCCACCTCATCTTACAATAAATTTTGATAAATTATAAATCTAAAATTCGAAATCTCTGTGTTTCACATCAATTTCAAAATATAAAAAGCGATACGAATTTATGAACCTCGGTAGCGAATTGATTTCGAAATTTCGGACTAATGTTTTGAGCCAGTCCACGGTACAGTGCTACCAAAAATTCATCACATGATGTTACATCCCTTAAATGACTCAACGCATTTTTCACTGTAGCAGTCCTACTTACACTGATTTCAACGATTCCTTTCGTCCAAATCCAATCCAAGCATCTGGAATTGTTAAGTTTTATGCAAATTTCATTTACAGGCGACAGATGCTCTTTTTTTGCAAGCCATGATAACTAATAATATTATCATTATTGAAACTACACTAAGTCCTTCTGAGAACCCCCTGAGCTAAAGAAACTTTAAATATTAACCTGTATAAATGATCACGGATCCAACTGAGCATATTTGGATGGACATCATTATACTCTTTAAGCCAATTACTGATAAGCTCCTGAATACTCATGTGCTCCTCGCTGCAATAGTGAATGAAGTACAGTTTGCACCAAAACTACCAAAAGATTCTGAGAAACAAAGAAAATTTATTCGAGCTCATAATGATTCATTCAAACTGCTCATTACTGTAAATCATGCAATTACAACATGAAAACGTTTTCTGGATAATAAAAACTGGACCTTACAAGTATCATACCCATCCGAGATATTGTTGCTGGGGATGCGTTACCAAGATTGTCGGTTTCAAAAATGAAGTTAACATTAGGTCCAAATTGAATTCTTTCACCAGAAGGCATTGTAAGCTGCAAATAATTCAATCAGTTAATCAGTTTTTGGCATAAAATTCTATATTCTAATTCTATACCAGCATTATACTGATCTATGGTGAAAATAAAAGACGAACAAAGTAGGGAAATTTTTATGGCAAACTGCTGAACATTTCCGTAACTGAGAACTGATATTTAAGAAAAAAAAAGTGTTTACCAGACGATTATCATCAAGCACCGAATTGAGTGCTTCAATCCATTCTGGATCAATATCACCGTCACAAATAATCCATGCTGATACACTGCTATCTCTGACAACTTCTCGAGCAGCTGCTGTCAAAACGCCATCGGACCACTCACGCGTATCAATGTCCATATATCCCAAAAGCTGAGTTAAAAATTATCGAAGGTGATAGTAGTCTGGATGATCAAGATGGCTCTCGTGGAACTTTTGCCATTGCTAACATTCAAATAGTGTGATATGTTGCATATATAGTAGTAAATAGCTTACTTTTAATTTAAGTTCCAAGAACCTACTTTTTGTCTTGCCATTGATTTTGGATTGATTCGATAAATTTTTACTGGCTTATTTATTAGTGCCATAGCTTTTTGTAGTACTTTCCATATGGTTGATTTGCCCGAACCACTCGGACCCAGCAATATTACACCCATTCGTTGTCGCAGTTGATCGTACAGTTCAAATATCTTTTTTACCTAAATAAAATACCTTACCATCATCACTGACAATCACAGCCTTACTCAATCTATAAGTTAACAAGTAATGGAACGACCATGCACGACCATGTCTCACAGAGAACCATGTACCTCAACAATCTGACTAAGAGTTACATTTTGAAAAATTAGACCAGATTGGACAGTCTTAGTGGTTTTAGTCAATAATGATAACCAAACTACCTGCATACCAGTAACTTCTATCTTCAATTCACCAGCAACCAATTTCAACGGTTCTAGCAATTCCTCAATCTGAAATTATTTTTGAATATACAAATCTTCGGAATTTCTTATTAATTTTTTCTTTTACACTAAATATAGGAATAGCATATCATGCACACTGTGTTAAAATTTGTTGCGAAAAAAAGAAAACTTTCAAAAAAGTAAACCTGCATAGCGTCTTTTTTAACATCTGAAAATACATCGTTGATAAGGGTGCTAAAACGTTTACAATCTTCAAAGGTGAGCTTTGATAACGTATTCAATGCCAGTGCCTGCAAAATTTCAGTATCTTAAATATTTTGAAATCAAAAAAAAGTCAGCACATAGATGAATGGCACAGTATTAAAGTATTACTATGAATAATAGAGAAATTAAAGAGGAAAAGAAAGTTTAGAAAAAAGAATACATCAACAACCACTTGAACTTCATTTTTATCCACCCTGTTAGCCAACAAATTACCGCAACTGCGCAGTACGGTTTTTAATGCCCTCAAGCCCCAATCATAATGTTGCTGCGAGCTTAACATTTCCCTTAAAAAGACAATTTATTTCAATTTGGCTAAATATCTCGCAATTCGAAAAGGAAGAACTTGCAAATAGAACTGATTTCTACGTCTTTCTAGAATTCTCGGTTTAATATCGCTTTTCGCTCTTTTTTCCTGAGAAAAGAAGGAGTCACAGCGATAACCACTAAAATTTTTCTTAAATCAACTACTAATTAAGTTATCCAGCAGAATGACTAAACAAAGTATTGGTTGAACGATCTATGAAAACCGGTCGAGCAAATTAACGAATTCAAAAAAAGAAAAAAGAAACTAACTTGCTTAAGCTGAAGATTGATACCAGTTTCCGCGACAACTGCTTCGCGTTGCAAAAACCTTCCGCACTCAAAAGTGTTTCTGCTGAAAAAAAATGTCCGATATTTCAAATCCTAATAAGTGTTGGCAGTATTTTCTCGCAAGTTATTTCATAAAAGTGATTTCTGATTTTAGCTATTTTTGCAAAAATACACTTCTTAGGATAAGAAATACATTTCCTATAATCTGCTAGGAAAATGATGGCAAACCGATAAGTTCGTTATCTGGAACAGACATAACGATTGGACGAAATAACTGTTTAAGATTGTCCGGTAATTTTTGTCGTCCACCATATCCTTTACCTGCCGGATTCAGTGTTATAAATATCGCTGAATTCAAATCTACAGGAACCTAGAATTCATGCAGTAAGAAAAACAAACATCAAAGAATTCTTCCACATAATCTCATCTTTCAAAAACATAAAAAAAATTCTTACATCTCGGTCAGCTAGCATACATTTCCCTGATCGTGATTTTATTGCATCTTGAATGACCTGAATTTGCATTGATACAGCCGAAAGCACTGTCTGAAACTCTATATAAATATTAAGTATTTCGTTTATAAAACATACAATTTTGATTAATGAAAAAAATAACCTGATCTAAACGATTGAATTCATCAAAACAGCCCCAAGCGCCACATTGCACCAAACCAATAAAAATGCGACTCATTGAGTAAATGTCAATTCCTTCATCGCAGTTGAATACTAGAACTTGTCGTCCAAATAAATTTGCTAGTGCCTCAAATGTTTACCCAATTGATATGAGAAAAAGTTAAGCAGAGGAAGTAAGTCAAAGCTGTGCTATTTTTGGCAAATGATACTACCTGTAATTTTGTGCACCTTAATTGCATTTCCATTAACATACTAATAAGTACCATGCTATCGACTAGAACTTTACAACATATTTACCTTGACAGATTCGGTTTTTCCAGTGCCTGCAGGACCATAAGGATTACCACCAAGACCCATTGACATTGCTGAGAATTGAGGTTTTATTGAAACTTCAAAAAAGAATGCGGAAAAAAAGAGCCTTGTAATTAAGTTAGTGAAATGCTTGGCTGCAGTTTTGATTGTACCATAATTAGGAAGCCATTTATTTCAAGAACAAATTGAAATAGATGAAAAGAAATTTTGAATAAGTTACCTTGTGTAAGAGTTAAGTAACACTTATCAGTAAGCGGTGTGTGAACCAATTTGGGCGCATTACCCTGAATTATGCCATAGACAGTTTTATCACTCAAAAAAATAGAACAAATAATTTTGGGTCAAGTCGAACACATTGGATCTAGGCTTAAATAATAAACCTGATATTCGTAGGTGTAATCGAACCGTGCACCAATATGTCGTATTACCACTTGCTCTTTTGATTCCAAATAAAATCGTAGCTGTTTTTGCCACACCCATGATGATTTAGAGCTAAAATTTGTTTTATTTTGTCATTAGTAATTAAACAACAAAGTAGATCAATAGTAATAATTTGATCTCACAACTGGTGCAGCGGATTTCCCTGAGATTACTCATGGATTAATATATTATGTATTAAATTATGACCTTGTGATATATTTGCTTTAGATGAACGTAGACTAAATAATTTAATAATATGGATAAGATGGTGAAGGCCAATTTATTTTGAAAAAAATTGAAGATTTAACATTTTATTGTTTGTAGATTTCCTGTATTGTTTGTGGTTATTGAATTTATTTGTTTGTCGTTCGAGGAATCATGATCATCGTAACAGTAAATTGATAATTAGTTAAATACGAATATAATGAAGTAAGTAAACTAACACAAACAAGTACAATAAAGAAACACAAAAAATGGAATATAAGAAAATACACCCCCTACCACGGCGAATTATCGATTAGTTCGTCGATGATATTTATGTTATGGATTACATCCATTATAAGCGCTTTTAATTTAAGCTTCAAAACATGGTCTGATGTTCCAGAATTGATGTAATTTGCTAATGTTTGTTTTAACTGCTTCCGGTAGTTTTGCAAATCACCTCTGCCACTCAAAATTCGTTCGCATCCTTCACAAAAACGAATTTGTTCCGATATACATAGAACCTGAAGATTTGTTTCTTTTCAGATTACCTTTCTAAATCATAAAGTCATTATGTAATCACAGGAGTAAAAAAAAGACCTGTGATGGATATTTTCCAGGGTCAGGAGATGTCTCAGCGATACAGTTTGTGATTAGTTTTCGGATTGTATTTTTCATTTCATTGGACAGCTCTTGTAACCATTTCTGAAACTTTTTCCTTGAACTCAAACTTGACTAAAAACTAAATTGAAATGCAATTGAAAAATGTTCAAATTTCTTAATGTTCGAATTATTATTTTTTCACTTCCGCAAGTTAAAAAAGGGGTTACTTCCGCTTCAGGGAGAATTCTGACTGATTTTGATAACTGGACAATTTCGCCATCACTGGAAACCATCGCAATTATCGTTTCACCGTTATCACCAAATATAACTTTATGAATTCCCTGTCAAATATTTCAGACGTTTTCGATTAAATTCACGCTTCTATAAGATTGAGGAAAACATCCTTTAGAAAAAGAACTCAAAATGACTGCAGTTAGCTATCAGTTAGTTGTAATTACGTTGAATCTGGCATTAACATGAAATTTCATTAACATGAAAGGTTGCAAATGCTTCATGATGCATCTGCATCCTGCAATATTACATACAATTACACACAGATTGTTGCTTTGAAGTGATTGTCGCTTTAATTTAATTGCTTTAATCAGATCATACCTGGAAAAGTTTCTTAAGATGTGCTTGGATTACTGCTGCATTCATCAACTGACCTAACATTTCCAGCAAATCGTCATCACCCAAGAAATAAAATCTAGGGAAAGCATTCCGTTTCTCCTGAAATAACAAAAAGTATCATTCCTCGAAGTGATCACTCACAAACATTACTTCTTAATAAAATTAATAACGCTGACAAGTATAAAAAGGTGAAATATGTTTGAATATTTTACACCAAATGAATTTGAATAATTTTTTAGTAGTAAAAACCTCAAGGAATTGATTCAACGCTTTTTGACAACGATTAAGTTGATCGATGATTTGTTCCAATGTACGCTTCAACGAAGCTCGTGTGCTTAGGCTAACGATGCGCGGATCTTCAACTACATCTATAAATAGGTTATTGTATCATTTCAAAACCTTATTTAAGCCCAATTTTACACTCAAATTCAATAACTACTCCAAATGTTCATTTTCGCCATTTTCTCTAGAAACTTAACTATCTGCCAGGCAAATTTTAAATCCTCGTTTGTAGGATAACATTGGAAAACAGTAAAATCTTTATTAATTAAAAATGACTTAAAACGATGATAAGGGATATTTGGAAATGCTTCAGCTGTGTTAAATAGTTATAATAAAAGACTGAGACCATTTAAGACGATACGAAATTCGACATCAACCCGACTGAAACGAGATGCTTCAGATGGAAGAGATCCACGTCCAAAGATTGGTTCCAAATAAATCCATTTACGCTGTATTTCATTCATCCATTGTATATATTGTTCAGTGTCAGCTAATCTAAATGAAAAAAATCTCCAAATTCAAAATGTGTCATTTTATTATCTTTAAAAAAATATATGTTTAGTTGAAAGTGTGGTACTATGTGGAAAATATACAGAAGGACATGCCGTGTTTCCCAAATTGATGTTTTATCAGTGAATTGGGCGTAGTAGGACGAATTTTTTAGCGATTGGAGCAATGCTTCACTGTCTTTTACCTGAATAGTGCACCAGTGAATTTCAATAATTCTATTAGGTAATAAACAAAAATGTGCTGGAAATTCGGTGCTTCAAAATTTCAATCAATTTAATTTAAATAGCAAATTTCCGCGACATTTTTTGGTAAAAATAAAAGTTTTCATAACACGACGGATGTGATATAATCAGTATAACTTCAAGAACTGATAAAACTTAAGTTCAAGGATAGCATATTTGCATTTTGCTCCATTTTAATTAAAAAGAGAAAATCAAAATTGCAATATTATATGGATGCAAAGAGAATACCGAATTTAATGCATCTTTCCAATCCTTGATTATTTTCATAACCGTTCCATTCGAATGTTTATAGTCAGTTAGAACGAATTCCGCCTGAATTTCAAAAATTTCTTCAATATTTTGAAAATGCGATGAATAAAATTCTCATAGCAGGATACAATTTCATTAAAAAGGAAGCCTCGAATCAACTACGAATCAAACAAAAAAAAAAAAAAAAGAAAAGGATAATCGATTGAAAACAACAGCTAATATTCAATGAAACAAATAACCAAACCTGTTCGGCCCAAAGTTCAAGCTCCTGAATGGCTTCACGAATAGTAACTTCTCCTTGGGCACGTTCATTTAGATTCTTCAATGCCTCCAAATTTTCGCTGATCACTTTATGAACATCCAAAAAATTACCAAAGCGCAAATGTTCCAACGTTGTACCTTTTGGCATACCCAATATTCGGAACAACATTAGCCAATGATCGCTGCTTAAGATTTCACCTCGACAGTATCTCAAACCGGCACTCATTTCCTGAAAAAAGAAAACATAGCTGGTTATGCTATTATAAATAGCGTGTTTCATTCAGTACTCAAGGAATGGCAAGTAATGAAACCACAAAGGAAAGCTCTGTTTTCAGTTTTAATTTCAGTGGACTTATCGAAATCTAGAAATTAAATTAAAATAATAAGTTTTTGCAAGCAATTTTCATGTATCTACTATTGCAGGGAAAAGTAAACTTATTATCCCTTGCACCGGCAATATTCTTTCACAATGCCCAGTAGAAACCAGGAAAAAGAATAGGACTAGCAGGTAGCTTTTTCAAGCAATAACGAAAAGTAAATAAAAATCCTATAACAAAGAGATGCTTTAATGAACATATAGCAAAAAAGAAATTAACCGAAAAAAGAGCAAATTTTCACAGTTTACCGTTTTTAGTTTTAAATAGAGAATTAACTTGTTATCATGTCGTATTGTAAGGTAAAAAGATTACTGCTTAACATAAATTTACAAGGGTTGAGAAGTACTGATAGATTAGTAATAACAATCTTAACATTTTTACCTTAAACTGATCAATTTCCTTGCGTAAACGAATGGTAACATGTGTGGCCGGCAAATTTTTTATTTTATCATCCCATTCATGCAAATAATCATCAAAACGATAAGTTTTTGATCTAAAAAAAATTTTTGGGGGTGGAAATGAGCAGAAATTAGTAAAATAAACTTCCCGAAATCTTCTAGCGCATATCTAGAAGAAAACTGCAAAATATTTTAAAATATTTGAACAAACTACCCTTTATGACACGGTTATTTTATGCAGAAAGTCATTCATCATCTCTTAAAAGCAAGAACTGAACAAAAGCTAGGATTAAAGATAAACAGTTCATAAGTTAAGAGTCACAAATTACTAATAATAACTTTAATAACAGTAATAAGTAACAATGACATTTACCTGAACAAAATCCATTCCTCATCGGCCATTTCTTGCAAGCCAACATTAAACTGTTCATACAATAACCAGTTATTTTCACAGTTTTTAAGATCATTTTCCATTTCATCAAAAAGCGGCATTTCTGATTTTTCAATACCGAATTGTTCACATTCAGCCCTAAACAGCTTCAACAAGATTTGTTATTTCAATAAACGAAGCTGAATCTCAGATCTTTCCCTAGCTAATTTTGAATCTAAGATATGATTTAGACTAATGATTTAGTATTTCTCATACTAGAAGGTAGTGCTTAAATTGGTTTCCATTTATTCATTTTTTCGCTCATAAGCTTCATCATAGTCTGACCACTCTCTTTCCTTACTTTCCCCTTACATTGACTACAAAATACATTAATCAAAATCCGCGTGAAAATGTTCGTAATTTGAATTTATCATACAATAAAGTATCTCGTTTTTGCTGCAACTCATCGAATTCATCACGTTTTTCCTTAATGAAATGTATTGCTCCAAGCACGGCATTTCTGTCATCGTCAAGAAGATCATTTTTCGGTTTGAATTGGTTCCAGCGAACAAATAATTTTTCAATTTCATCATTTAGTGATTTCAGGCGTGTGCCAACATTTAATTTCAGTGTCTCTACCTGCGAGCCAAGAAAAAAGAGGATGTTTAATTAGTCTGATCAATTAACAAAGTTGTTACATAAATTTAAAAAAATCAAAAAAAAGGTCATTATCATACATTATACTAATTTTTAATTATAAATATGAACATGATATTTAGATCGTGATATTAAGTGAAGATCTAAATCATCAACCAGTTAATAGGAAACAGAGTTACTGGTAAAATACTAAGCAGGCATTTGAACAGTGACCGTCTGATTTTACAAATTAGCAAAATCCAATAGTTACTGCTTCGATGAAATCCAAAAGTTATTAATTCGATCAACTGTTAAAACTCTTTCACCTTATTCCAGACGAAGTGGAATTTCATGGACTAAACTATAATGAATTCTTAGAAAACACATCCCCAGAATAAAAGAGGTTTATAGTTCTGTGCTTGAAGTCAAAACAAAACATTCGTCCATTTCTTCGCAAGGATAAGAATAAGGAAAAAGGGTTTTGGCGAGTCAAAATATAAGAAAGAAGTTTACATTTAAATTTGATTCAAATGAAAAACCTGCTCTTTGATCATCGACTGGTGGCTATCTAACATCAGTTCAAATTTCTCCCACAATTTTAACACGGTTGGTAATTGTTCAGCACCACTTCCGCCAACCGATCTTAACAGAACATTTTTTTCCTCAATCAAACCAAGCGTCCTCTTCAGCTAAAAATTTAGATGCCAAATTAAGCAAAATAAAGTTACCAAATGTGGTATGTTGTATGAGCAATTATATAGGAATTCAGTAAAAACCTCTTTACTGGATTTTCCAAATTCGATATGCTTCTGATTCGCATCTGCAATTTCGGCAACTGACTGAGGTCTAGAATTAAGTACTTCGATTGCCTGGTTTAGGAAACGATTGATATCCTGGAAAAAAAGTATCAGCGAAATACGTAAATGAATATTGCATATTGTAATTGAATTTATCGCTGTCCAAAACTCAAAACATTTGCATGGCTCCAACAATGTGTTCGGTATACTACACTAGAAACTGAGATAATTCCTTACCTAAACAAAGTTATTACAAAACGTTACGTGAATTTCATTGTTGATGGAATATCTCAATGTCCATATCAACGTATCGAAGAGACGCTGTAGCATATCATCGATAGCAATTTTAACGGCTGATGTTAAAACAAGAATACATTCCAATCTTACTTCACTGTAATATTTTATAATTTTCTGTATGCATTATTTGAAATCAGTGATGCAGTGATAAATTCGCACACAATCTGAGATAAATCTTTTGTTAATAGCTAGGAAGACCATACCAAACTGATGAATTAAGGGATTTTGTCATTTAACTTTTACAAACAGAAGAAAGAAAACGATAAAATAGTGAAGGCAGAAAAATAGGAAAGAAAATTCAATTTAAAGCTTTATTTCCTTCCTGAGATTTTCGTTGAAAAAGAGATATCTGTGGCATATAATTATTGCACTGTAATTCGAGTGCTCCAATTTATTCTGCTGCTTGCTTAAAACTTCTGTAGAGAGCAAAACAAAACTACTAATACAAGTTATGGAAAGATTGGAAAAATACTTACCATTTACATAAAAAGATTCCTGAAGTTAATAAAACTTGAAAAAAGATAGCTCTAAAGACCTAAGTTATCGATTAACTTTAACTGTTAATATTTCACCTTGGTAATTTCTCCGCATCGCGTCCTTTCCCTTTCAGCAGTTTGATTTGATTTTCCCAGTCTGCAGCTCGTTTGAAATGTTTTGTAATTAAGCTTTCCAAATCAACTTGGCCCACAACAATCCAGTTCTATAAATTTTTACCAGGATCCACTAAATTTTAAATTTAGCTCTCAAAATTATCAGTATCTTTCAGGAAGTGCACAAGTTCCCGTTTTCTGTTTAATATCAAAGTATTTCTGTATCAAAATTTTTTTTCCACCAAACAATTAGTTCTTGAAAGTAGCAATGTAAATATACATACATCAAATTTTAACCTCAAACTCATTTCCTACATTAACAAGTTTCTCGAATAGTTGTTCGGCTTTTTCATAAACACTCCAAAATCGACTCGCATTGTGTTCGATCATTTTCGCGAATAATTCATTGGCCTAAATGTTTGATGTATATTATTACAAAATGATGAAACTACATAACCTGAATTTGTTTATCACGAAAGCTGGGCAACAAATTCCAAAAATCTCTTAGTTAAGAAAGGAATGTCGTACATAAGTGTCGTCTTAAGTTACCCCATTAAAACAGTACAAGTTGAAGATTAACATGAGCATACACGCATAACATGCTGACGTGTCATAGTCCAAAGAGATGCGTTACACTAAATGATTATTCATGCAAATACGTGCTTTTCGTAATATATAATGACTTCAGTAGTAGGTATCGAAAAACGCTTTCTTTTATTCTCACTTTTTCAATCTCTTGAACACCACGAAATTTCTGTGGAATGCTAATGAACTTCCGTAATTCTCGATAATATTTTGCACGAATTTCCTCCAATGGTGGCCGTAATTCAAGTTGTTGATCCCTGCAAATGTACCAATTGAAATCCAAATGAAACGTCGAAATTCCACCTACATTACTTTAAGTTATTAAAAATTTACGAAGAAACGGTGGAAGAAGACAAAGTTGCAGAGGTGATAGTAAACTTCACTTAAACACTAGCTGGACTTGAATTAACGGGATTTGCGTATGAAGACTTTCAATACCCCATTGATATTGCAACTGTAGTGTCTGTAAAAAAAGAAAATATTTGAAATTTAGAAGTAAATTCTTTTTTTGGAACAAAGTCAAAAACCCATACAAACTCTTGTGAGGAAAAAAAGGTCCTGTATCAACCTTATAAAGTTGACGATCCCAGTGTGATAACCACGGTATCATATTATTTCGATTACCGATACTTCGTTCTTGCTCCGCTATTTTATTTCGTATTTCACCCATAACATCCTTCCACTTACTGATTTCCTTGAGAAGATCCAAATTCATCAGCTGCTTTATTTTGTCGCAAATTTCACTGTGTGCTTTTCGTAATCGTCTAAGATGAAAGGGAGATGATTAAAGATTAATTAAATTATGAAAAAAATGAAATTTACACTTTATCATTCCCTCTTCATTTATCTTTATTGAATATTTACATTTGAACGTTTTCACATGGTAGGAAATTTTTTATAAAGCTACAAAATAGAACATACATTTTGAAAATTAAGCGATGATACTTTTTTGCATATCAATATAAGTAATAATTTTTGATAATATTCTTTAGTCATGTTGTTAAGTAAGGAAATTACGAAAGTTATTACGGAAAAAAATATCAAAAAGAAATGTGAGAAGAATGAATGTGAAGAGTAACGGTACCAACTAACCTATTATGCAAAGTTAAGCGTTCAGCAGCTGCCTGTAACTTCTCAATGAATTCTTGAAGATGCTTTGGATTATTCCAGCTAACCGTATTTGTTGTTGTTTCACCTTTCTTTCCAGATAGTAGTAATTTTTCGAAAGCTAAAGCTTCGTCTAACATCATTGCCTGCTGGCACGGAAGCATTTGTTGATCCACCGAATTATAAAAATGTGCTACCTTCAAATGTGGAACTTGGTTTAGACTTTTAGAAGTGAAAACAAAAGTGATCAGGATCAAGCAAAGCAATCAGATTTCGAGATAGTAATTGGAATCAACCGGAACGAATCAGGTCTTGAGATAGTAATCACAATCAACCAGAACAAGTTAGAAATTTCCATAGCAGTGATTACGACTATTAAAAAAATTTCGAGATTCGAGACGTCCTGGTTGATTCTGATCACTATCTTGAGATCCCACTTGTCCTGTTTTGATTCTAGTCACTTTTTGTGATCATTTATATGAAAATCTTGAATATCAAAACTATCCGACCTTTTTTCAATTATTAAGTAATTTGTCATTCAGTGATTAGAATTGTCTGAATTCGGTTGAAAACTATGTATCTCAGCACTTCCATCACTAACCTAATTCTACAAAAAAAAAAAAAAAATAAAGAACTCGAAGAATTTTAAATTTTAGAAATGTAATAACCTGTTTAAGAACGATGGCATATTTGTAGAATTGCTCACCGGTATTAGCACATTCAATAATTTTCCGCGGTATAGCAAAACCAAGACCTATTAGCTGACGTACTTCTCTAAGAAGTCGCACTAAACGATCGCTGTAGTTGACAATCAAATTACCACTTTTCTGTTCGATACTCATTAGCTTACCACTTGTTTCAAGTGTAACTGAGTTTGCCGAATTGCTGACAATTTGAATCATTTCTTGGCACCTAAAATATTCCACCCATAGTTAAAGTCAAAAAAAAAACTGAACTAAATTCTAAAATTTAGAATTATACATATTTTTGAAAAGTACTCCAAGAATTCTTTTTTTTCCTAGACATTTAACATTTTGAAGTGCCAAATTTGATGATTTTAATTATTCATGTATCGTTAATCTTTTTTCTTTTTTTTTTCAAATTTTCCTTTTCAATTTTTGATATCCCTTTTTGCTTACCAAATACTAAAAGAATCCGATTCCAATGAATGCATTTCGTCAATTGTATTTTGAATTTTCGCTTCTATTATTTTATAACTTGTTAAATCATTTAGCAATTCGTCGCATACAATTTTGATATTTTCAACCTTAAAATGATACAAATAATATGATTAAACTTAAGTTTATTTTAAATTTATTTTAAGTTTAATAAAGTTAAGCTTATTTTCGCTTATATCATTACTTTATCATTTTCAAAGTTAATTTTTTCATTCCTTTATTATATTTATTATTCATTGCTTTGAAAATTTAAGAAAAAGGAAAAATTAATAAAATTAAAAAATAAAAATTTCGTAAAAGTATATATCACTGTAATATTAATATTGCGAACATTGTAGTTATACGATCATCCATTTCATTTAAATATAAGCCATCCATCAGGTTTCTGTTTCTTTTTTTTTTGTCGACATAATCTGTTGAATTTCTGTTTAAATTAAAAGGATGAATCATAGCAAAAATCTTACTTTCTAACTTACCTTATTAATTTCTCGTCGAATCCAAATAAGTTTAGTAGCAATTTCCGTGAGATATTGCCCAATTGGTATATCATTTGTTGCAATTCGTTCTATTACTTCACGTTTTTGCGTTTCGACCGCATTTGCCAAACGACCAAGTAATGTTTCCCTGAATACGTATTTCTTTTTTGTTTTAAACAAAACTTAAAGTTCCATCATAAGTTATTCATAAAAATATTGTAAGAAAGATGAAAGAAAATATTTACCTTTCCATGGAAAGTTTCTCTTTGATACTTTGGCAATTTAAAAAATGCTTAAATTTGATCAAATTAGTAATTGCCTGAAAATTTAAAATAAACAAAATACAAGAATTGATATGTATATTATTGCTATATTGCTAGATTAAATTTGTTTATATCACTATGATCGATAATTATAATCCATAAAAGTGTTTGATTAATGAATTTGCTTAATTCATAAATTTGGATCATAATTTTGTTAATACATCCCTCTAGTTTTATCAGCTATATACTCTGTAATCTTTTATACCAGCTTTTATATCGTTGCCATTTTAACATTTAATAATTAATTGAGATTTTAATTCAAAAAAAAAAACCAAAGATTCAAACTACTCGATAGCAGAAAAA